CTGATGGTGGAACATCTTTCTACGGCTGATGAGCAGAGCAGAAGAAAAGTCTGGAGAAGCTGGAAAGATGTAAAAGAACAACAAACCACCGAAAGAAGAAAAAAAAATCAAGATACAAAACCACAAACACGAAATGTGACACAAAATTAAAACGCAAAAAGCAACCAGACGAGACACGCAAACAAAATACTGAGACACAAAACGACACCAAGTGAGACGACGGAGACACGAAATATAAACACCGAGACAGAAGACGAGAAGAAGCAACAAGCAGAGGCAATGAAACGAGGAAAACTCCGCCTCACATCCAGGATTTCTTTATTGGCTTTAGGAGACGTGGCCTCTCTGAGAACTTTGATGGCCACTGGGATCTTCACGTTCTCCCCTTCAGGGATCCACAAACCCTAGACAGACACACACACATGCAGGAAAATCAGGGTTCTGAGTGGAACCAAGGACGGTTCTTCAGATCGACGCCACAGAAGAACCACTGGTAGCTCCACAAAGAACCTTTAGCACGATCTTCTTAACAGTGAAATGTGTTTTGTAATGCAGCAGAAGTTCATGTCAAGTCTGAAGTTATTTCAGAGTTTTTGTGAGTGTGTCACCAGTCTGTAACGTTGAGGGAACGTTTTAGTCAGTTTGGACTTTTTTTGTCATGTAGGACAAACATCGAGAACGTTTCCAGCAGATCGGAGGAATTCTGAGTCATTCTGAGCATGTTCCTGTTCTGGCTGTTTTGACGACTGATTGCTGTTTATGTCAGTTTGAAGCACATGTTAGAATCTGCTGCAGTTCTGGTTCCTTCCATCAGAACACGTCTTATTATGGGTTCTTGGTCAGGCAGAACCACATGTTCTAAGATGTTTGTGTGATGTCTGCTTTCTAGAACAAAAGATCGATGAGAACAAAACCCTGTTCGGCCGGTTTCATGCTGATGCTGCATCAAAGAACCTTTAAAGAACCACATCAAGCAGAACCTTCTCCTGAACAGAGAGCTTCTCCAGCTGCTGGTGGAGCTGTGAGGAACCTCCCAAAGAACCTTTCTGACAGCAAAACTCACTGACAGGTGGCAGGAAGTGGTGTTCTGGCACTGGGTGGCGTTACCTTGAAAACGGTCCCGAAAGCCCCGGAGCCGAGCACCCGGACCTTCTTGAACTCGGTCTCCTTCAGGATCCTGAGCAGCGCCTGGTTCGGCGCCTGGCCGCTCGGCGTCAGCGGCTCCACCAGCTGCAACACAGTGAGCAGAGTCACAGCGGTTCACGTCTGTACGTTCAGTCTGTTCTAGCGGCGAAGGCTTCCTGTCCCACCTCCCTCTCCTGCAGCAGGCGGCGCATGGTCCTCTTCCTCCTGATTCGTCGTCGCCGCAGCAACACGAAGACGACCAGCGACACGATGACGGCAACCAGGAGCCCGCCGACCACACCCACCGCCAGCGTGGAGTGGGTCGCAGCGCTGCAGGAGTTAGAGGGTTTGAAACAGGAAACAGCAACAGGACTCATTTAAACCGCCGGCCACTGATGGAACGCCGACGGCCGTTTAGATTTAGTCTGAANTGTGGTGATTTTATGTGTAAACGTTCCAGATTGTGAATCAGTGTCATGATGAGGAAGAAAAACATTTCAGGTTTTTGTCTTTCTTGGTTCCTCAGACGTTGTTGTTCAGACTCAAACTTCAATGTGAGGATCAACCTGCAGAAGGAGCGTCGATGGGAGATTAAAGCCTGATGATCTCAGAAGCTCTCTGACTGGTGGAGCTAAACGTCTCCAGATATCTTAATAAGAACCGATGTTTCATGCGCTGGAACCTTGGGGCCCATCAGACTCTGGGATCAGACAGCAGCAGCTTTCACACCGAGCTCCTGACCTTGAGGTCTGTGATTTTCCCAGAACTCGACCATCCGACGAGGCTGAACGCAGACGGAACAGATTAAGCGGCTCCGCTGCGTTCAGGTTAACAGGCCTCAGCAGGCTTAAAGGCAGCTATCAGGAGGAGGAGGAGGAGGAGGAGGAGGCAGACTCTCTCTCACCTTGGCGATCTGGACGCACCAGTTGAGCAGCCACTGAGCCCCGACGTGGTCCCTGTGGAGCCGGACGTAGTCCAGCAGGCAGCCGTACGGCATCAGCTGGGTGACCAGCTGCACCGAGGACGTCAGGCAGATGCCCAGCAGCCGGCACACATGAGGATGGTCCACGCTCGCCATCACATACGCCTCCTGCAGACACACAGGCGTCAGCATTCTGCTCCTCCTGAATACAGCGCTCCACAAATCTGCTGCAAGTCTGAGCCACAAAACCCACCGCAGCCTCCAAAAGCGCTTTATCTCCACAGTCACCACATTTCATCAACATCACTTTATTCTGCACGGCTCACTTCAGAACACTAAGATCCAGAAACTAAGACCAAAACTCTCATCAACGTGTTTAACCGCCTGAACCACAAAACACACGGCGAGGTCTGAAGCCAGAGTAGCGCTGAAACATCACCACTGATCATCTGGAACAGATCAGAGAGATGATCCAGATGCTTCAGGTGAACTGCAGGCAGTGAGAGGAGAACCCAACCGAGTGGATCAATGAATGAATGCAGCATGGATCAGAACCAGAGAACAGAGGAG